TCTGTCTTTTCATCCCAAAATAAAGCTGAGTAAAAGTCAGGAGAGGCCAAGATCCATTTTCAAAGACAGTGCATTTTATGAAAAGCTTTCTGAAGGGTCTCCCCTTAATACTTAACACCTTTTTTGTTTAGTAGATTAAACTAGGACTTTTAAGGAATGTGCAAACACTTGTTATTACTAAGAAAAAAGACTTAACATTAAACAATTTTATAAAGTGACACTCAGGAGAAAACACATAAAGGACAATCCTTTCAGAGCAGGGATTCAAAATCAAGGCTCTACTTCAGAGTCAAATTTTGATTCATGATGTGCCAAAATGATCAGTAATCACAAATTCAAGACATTTAACTCAGTTCTACCTTACTATAAAATGTTGTTTTTTATAGAAGTTTTCTGCTAATACCAAAACAAACTCAAGTGTTTTTAGGATATCAGAATTTAAAAAAAAAGAAAAAAACTAACTAAAAAAACCCTCTGGTTTATAAAGCTTGGGTGTGGTTCCTTATTTGTCAGCCCTTACCCCCTCCACCCACAATGAAAACCACATGAACTTTTGAGTTTGGTGAAAAAATTTTAAAACCAGATTTAAAAACAACTCTGAAGCAAGTGAGCACTTTGTACTCCTCCCTTGTCTGAAAATTTCTGGAGACCCTTTATATATATTAACAAATTACTTCAACTTAAAAATACAACTAGAGAAAGTTTAAGCCTGAGACAAACAGTACTTTCTGTCCTTCTGTATAATAGGCGGTTAATAAACGTAACCTGAGCAAGTTAATGATTTTTCAGTTGCCAATAAAGCTAAAAGAACAAAATTACATTTACATTGATGGGTATAAAAAAACTTGCGGGGGTGGGGGGGTGACCCATTTAAGTCACTGGCATGACTTACTCAACTTTTAAAAAGGTCAACAGGAGATTATGTGCATTCAAAGATGCTCATATAGTAGGCCAACAAATTTTCTAGCATAATGGTTTTCAACCCTCACATACAGTCTCTAATGTAAGGCAAAGGTTGCACTGGTCTTCCCTTTAACCTTTCTTCAAAACTTCCTCCTCCACCTCTTCCTCCACTCATAAAAGTTAGCCTATTTCTAATAAGCTTTCAACAAAAGATACAATTACTCCTGCCATATAGCAATTTATAGGCTTACTGGGTCAACCAAGTGCTTTTTTATAGGACAGGGCTTTCCCTCATGTTTTTGATAATTCAAGCCTTCATGCCCTGACCCACAGGCCATCGGAGGCGTCCTATTTGTTTCATCCTCCAACTCTGCAGAATTAGTGAATAGGTAGGGAAGAAGTTTTTTAAAGTTTAAAAAATTTAACAAAAGAATGTGATCCTCGAAAGTCAGGGCTAAGTACAGCAAATGTAAAAAGAGATCAAATGAAAACCACTGTTTTACTCAATCTACATAGTTATGCCTGGTTGACTGATTTTACAATGGTACTGTTACCTCTATAAATACCCGTTCTCTCACCAATTCTTTATTTACTTCTTTGTAACTGACAATCTAATATCTTTCATGTGGACAATGCAACACTGGGGCTAAGACTTTTCCTTAGGAGTTATCCATCTAATTTCTCCTACTAACCTGTAAGCAACTGGAAAGCAAGCACCCTCATTATACTGCTTTTAATATCCTTCCCCCATCTCATGCACAATGCTATGCACTTAGTGAGCACCTTATAAAAGGTTTACTAGGAAAACACTCATTGTTTACGTCCATTACTAGAAGTAGAGAATATGTATGTGCGATGGGGACAGGGTTGGGACATTGAATGGTTTTCTATACAGAGCTGCAGGACAGGGTTCTCCTCCTCTTATGAGGAAGCTGATATCTAATGTTTGGGGTGGGGGAGTGGAGCCTGTTATTGCGGTTGTTTTATGTTTAGGGAACCCACATCCACTGCTTGGCTAATTGTAACTCACAGCCAAGGTGAGCTGAAAGAGAGAAGCAGCACGGGGTCTACTTCACTCCAACTCTCCTCTACACATTTCGAAAAGAAGTTTCTCTTTGTGTCTTTTAAACAACTCAAAGTGCACCTGATATCTCTACTAGCCTTCTGCACACTTTCTGACACAGACTTTCCTCTTAAGTCCTTACTAACTTTCCTTTTCCACTCTCTTCTTTTAAAGAATAAGAGTCTTCACTATATTTTCCTGTTGATGGTAAGGTTATCTGAAGCCCAGCACCCTAAGACTAACCATGGGGAAGGGAGCAGACTCAAAGATACCACACCCCAAGGTGGGCTTTCGACGTCTCTGCCTCACACAACAGCTCTCCGGTTCTTAGACCCCAGGAAAAAAAGAAAGGAGGTGGCAATTGGTAATCAGCGGGATCCAGAAGGGGACTGACTGGAGGCAGAGAGCAGACAAAGCTGGCAACACGGAAAGCAGCGAGCCTGGCTCCCCACCCCAACTGCACACGAAGAAAGAGAAAGGACGGGGTGGGGAACCAGGGGCTGACAAACTGTGGCGAGGATCGCCAAGGAGACCGGGAGGAGGGGGGCTGTCAGAAGGCTGAAGGCAGCGGCCGAGGGACCGAGAGAACAGGGCTGGAAAGAGGGCGCAGGCGGGAAGGGGAGAGTCCCCCAAAGAGTCGGGGAAGCGGTCGTGAAGGGAAGAGCCTGGGGTGGACTCAAGGTAGCAGGACACTCACCAGAGCCCCGAAGGAGGCAGGGCAGGGGGCGGCGGACAGCCGCAGACGCCGGCCGGGCCAGCGGTCTCAACGTGCGGACAGGCGAAGCCCCAGCGGCAGCAGCCAACCGGCCAGAGGAGGGGAGGGGACGGGTGAGGGGCTCTGAGGTAGGGGACGAGGGGCGCTTGCGGCTGAGGACAACAGGAAGAGCCCCAACTGCCGGAAAAGACGGCAACGCGCAGGGGCCAAGGCAGCTGGGTCCCCAGCCGCGGAGAGGGACTGGCGCGGCGGGCAAGGGCCGAGACTGCGCAAGCGTGACTTCCCGAAGACGCGGCGGGGATTTTTCAGGACTGCGCATGCGCGGCCGCGCCCCACCTGTCTACACTCCTCCTGGTGTTACCAGAACTGAGAGGCCCGGTTGAGGGGGGGCAGAAATGTGGGGTGTGGGACGGTCCTGGAGTGAGCTGGGCTGCAGGAGGTTCCCTTTGTGTTTTGTGTTTTGTGCTTTTTGTTTTGAAATAATGATAGACTCACAAAAAGTTGCAAAATTAGCACAAAGATGTCCTGTATACCCACCCAGCTTCCTTCAACATCTTACATAACTATACTACATTATCAAAACCAGGAAGTTGACATTGGTACAGTGCAACTAACTACTAGACCAATGCAATTAATTAGATTACAGTCCTTAGTCGGATTTAACCAGTTTAGCATGCACTTATTTGTGCGTGTATGTATATGTGTGTGCCCGCTCTCAACAGTAGTTCAGTGAAATTCTAAAACTTATGTAGTCCTTCTCCGCCCCTCCTTTGATTTTCGAACTTTGGAGCACTAGGTCAAGCTGGAGGCCTTGACCCCATCTACTCTTCCTTCAAGTAATGATTAACATGCTTTATGTTAGGATCTGACAAGCTCTCCTAGATTTGGACATGGGCTACCGGGTGAGCGGTCCAGTGTGCGCACACACAAAAGAACCTGCTTTTCAGGGATACCCAACCCCTTAGTCTGTACCATCCCTCGGGGTAAAGAGGTCCCAAGTTTACTAGCCTTTGGGCAGTCACTCATTCTTCGAGAATGGAGCACGGTATCCTTCCCCAGAAAGTGTCAGGCTCCTGGAAACAAAGATGGGCCCTGCCTGCCTTCAAAGAGGCAGCTAGGGAGCAGAAGCAGCAAGTCATTCATTTGGATGTTTTGTGATATTACGGTGCCTCTCTTGTGTAACTGTTTGTAAGGCCATAGGTCTTGGTTTTGTCCTTCAAGCTTGGGGTTCCAGGCTTTGTTTCCTTAATGGTCTTAAAAACATAGGTCTTCCTTGACTGCTTTCATCTTTCTAAACTTCATAGCCCAGTTTCCTTTGTCTTAGCCTCATACAAAAACCACTTTTCATTCTCTCTGTCCAGAGGCCCTTCTCCCCTAATGCCTTTTGTCAAAGCCCTAGCCAACCTTAACGAGGCCATATCAGTGCAAGATGTTTGCATAGTGCTTTGCAGTTTACAAACCGCCTTCCCTCGTTTTTATCTCAGTTGATCCTCATAACTCTAGCAGGTTACGTAGAATGAGGTTTTGTTTTAGGGCCTTTTTTCCCATTTAATTTTTAAATTTTATTTTAAAATTATAGTTGACATAGTATATTAGTTTCAGGTGTACAACATTGTGATTGGACATTTACATACCTTACAAAGTGATACTACAGTAAGTCTAGTAACTGTCACCCCTAGTTTTTACAATATTATTGACTATATTCCCTGTGCTGTACATTACATTCCCATGATTTATTTTATAATTGGCAGATTGAACTTCTTAATCCTCTTCACCTTTTTTGCCCAATCCCCACCCCCTCCACTCTAGCAACCATCAGTTTGTTCTCTTACTCTACAAGTTTGTTTGTTTTGTTTGTTCATTTGTTTTGTTTTTTAGATTCCACATATAAGTGAAATCATACAGTATTTGTCTCTCTCTGTCCAACTTAGGATGAGTTTTTACAGATGAAGGAACTAACACTCAACCAAAGTGATGTGCCTGAATTCCTACAGGTAGTAAGCCAAATAGCAGAGCAGAGAACCTCATTTTCTGACTGCAAGTGCAGTCTTCTTTCTGCTTTCCCCTTTTCTTCCCCTAAAGCCCAGCTCAAACCTTATCGTCTCCTTGGAGCCTTCCCAGTTTCAGAAGAGGGATTTTGTTCTCTGCTCTCTATATTCCTATCTTAATTTGTCTGTACCCCAACTCTAGTAACTACTGAAGTTTTCCTCAAAATAACCCAGCCAGAATATGCTGCTCTCTTCATGGACCCAAACAATGACATTTTACCATGATTCCAATAAGTATAGTGGACACCTGTCATTCTTTTTGACCACCTGAATCCCTTTCATGTGTTTCCTATTTCTCACTACAAAACTGACAATACCAGGTATCCTCTCTCCTTGACTCCCTTGCAGCTAGAGAGTGGGCACAACACCTAAGTGCCGACAATCACGTACACCCACCCCAGGCTATGAGTTGAAACCTAAGACTTGACTGTACACTCGTAGGACTTGACCTCATTTGCTTCACTCTAGTACTGGTGTTATCAGATCCTGCCTTTATTTTATTTATTTTATTTTATTATTTTTTAAAGATTTTATTGGGGAATTGGGGAAGGGGAACAGTGTTGGGAATGGGGGAGGGGAGCAGCCAAGTTGTTGTCCTTCAATCTTAGTTGTGGAGGGCATAACTAGCTCAGCTCCAAGTCCAGTTGCCATCCGGCTGCCCATCAGCAGTTCACAGCTGCTCAGCTCAAGGTGCCGTGTTCAATCTTAATTGCAGGTGGGTGTAGCCCACCATCCCATGCAGGAGTCGAACTGGAAACCTTGTTGCTAAAAGCACAAGCTCTAATCACTGAGCCATCTAGCTGCCCATGGGCAGCTCAGGGCAGCTCAATTGAAGGTGCCGTGGTCAATCTTAGTTGCCGGGGGGGGGGGGGG